ATTGAAAACGTGCTCATCATCACGTAATTACAAAAGAAGACAGGATAACCCGTGTGGAAAGGTTTAGCCATGAAAGATTGTTCTAGAAAATATGAGTGTTTGTCCTAAATATTAAATAGCAGAAAACATTTCTAAATTAAAGAGAGATAAGCCCAGTTCAAATTCAGTATATAGGACTATTCTATTTTCTGAGACTATGTGCTTCCTTATAAGGGATTCGAATTTTCTCTTTTGAAAACCTTTGTCATTAATTTCACATAATATTATGCATTACGCAAATTCAGTAATTGCGAATCCGTGTTATCTGAATCCAGAGCTCATTTATTTTCTATGATAACAATTTTTTCTCTAAATACGAAATTTGAAACTTTTCATGAGTTTTAATTTTTAATTCAACCCAAAGTATGTGGTATTCTCATAAACATCCGAAAATTAAATTTTGAAAAATATTGAATATTGAGAAATGTGATTAAAATGTATTCAAGAAAAAGGCATTCTGATCGTGCAATTAAGAGTTGTTGATGGCTTGCGCTTTCTGTCTGAATAAATATCATTTAATTGTTGATTTTTTATTATTACAGAATTGACCGATCCATCTATATTTGGCCATAGATTTGGCCTAGCCACTTTGAAAGCTAAACACCTCCTTGTAAGATCGTGAAGATTCCATTGGATCTCCCTTGTGAATCTCATGGAGTGAAATCCGCCCTAGGCTGACGAGGGCCATTATCCCGCTCCATGGTCTCTAGGTGGACGCTTCTCAGTTTGCTAAAGCTGGTGTTGTGGCTTTGTCACCGACCCGAGCCGCTAGTTTGCGGTGACGGTCAATAGATGGCGTCTAGCTTTGTCGTCTATTCTGACGGGAGAGGCAGCCTTTGTCTTTATGTACATATATCATTTCTCAAATAGCTCCACCAAGAAATCACCGAAGGTATCTGCATGTATAAACATTATAACCCAATGCAATTTTGAAGTAGTCTGGCAGGATAAAATGGTGAAACTGCTGGAAAAGTTCACCATTGAATAGCCAGACACTTCCAATATTTTATTTTCATTCCAATAATAAAGACAATATAATTAATTGCTTTATTATAAAATTAAAATTCTCTCTAAAATAGTTAAAATGATAACATAGAGGTAATCTAATATCGCTATTCTCAATTTTTTGCTATCACTTTGCATTCTGCATAAAACACTCACAGGATTCAATATAAACTGCTGCCTACGAGGATGAGCGGTAGATGAACGGCTTGTTGGGGAGATTTAGAAAATATAGACGTGGTGGTTAATATGATTGTTAATATTAATGTTGAGAGCTTCACTTTTGATCATTAATTAGGTCACAAAATTTAATTAAGAGCAGCAGCGACCATTAATTTTTATAATTATATCTGGGGAAGAAATTAGATAGATGGATGGAAGGTTTTTGTTTGCTTTTCCCGGACATTGTCCGATGTGGAAATGAAGATTTACTCTTTCAGGTCTTTAGAATTTTTCTACTGATGGAGCAAGCACTCAGGCGTTGACACCAAATTTATTTTTTTCTTGGAGATAATGAAGGTTTAAATTGTTTGTATATGTGTCTCAACTTATTTTTATACTTATGTTTCAGGTAGGTGATGAATACAACATTAAACCTCAGATGAGGTTCCATTTTCTTCTATTTCATTGGTGAACTTCAATATTATTTTAAAATTCACCAATGAAATAGAAGAAAATGGATCCTTATCTTTCTTAGATATAAAACTGACGAGGACCAACAATAAGATAGAAACAGATATATATACCGGACACCTACCCACACAGGTTCATATCTCAATTTCGAAACTTTTGATCCCATAAACCATAAAATATCTGTAATCAAAACATTATCGAAAATAATCCTCTCCCACTGATCTCAAAATATAGATATCCTTGAAAAAGAACAAAATTTATTATCCAAGGAATTGAAATACAATTAATATCCCAAACAATTAATCAATAAAACATATTTATACTAAAAGAAAGTCTTCAAAAAACAATAGTCAAGTTCAAACCTTTCGTGTACACTGCCCTAGAGTTATGGAATAGAAAGAATAGGCAGAAAACTGAAAAAATATAATATGAATATTAGATACCAATCCGCTCCAAACTTAAAAAAAAAACATTTTCCATCACCCTAAAACTAAACGTAACCCAAGACAGGAAACCCAAACCAATCTCATATACTGTATCCCATGCAAATCATGTACATCATCTTACATTGGAGAAACTGGAAAGACCTTAAAAGAGAGAATTAATCAGCACAAGGCAGCCTTCAAAAATAATAGCGCATTATCACTCCTAGTAGACCATGCAATAAAACAAGGACACATATCAGATTTTGAAAATTACAATATAATATACAGAAACATACAGGATAAGCACGCAAGATTATTTCTGGAGAGCAGGGCATCTATAGAGGACAAAATTAGTATTAACATAAGAATAGATATACCCCTATCATACCTACAGATAAACAGAAAAATTAATTATAGAATATAGAATAGTATTTTGAAAATATGAATTTAAGAATTAACCATATTCTCATTGAACAGTTTGGTCACACCAATCTACTTTATTCAAAACCTCGCCACTCGTGCATCACGTGAATGTTTACAGGGTTTGAATCCCCTAGGAAGATAGGCGAACAGCCTCATCGAAATATTGGAAGTTATAATAAATATTTTTGATCAAAAATAAGCTTTATTCATATAAGTATTCAAAATGGATTTTTCGATTTTTAATATATATATATTTATGTAGTAATCCCGATGTGGAATGTACTGGGCATTCGTGGTAGTGGGTGCGTGATGGGATTCCCGCACGGGGACAGCAAGAGACAGAGGCAGGTCTAGATGGTAGCTCCAAGAAGTAGAGGTAGACCACGGACGAAGGCAGTCGAACCACGGGCGTCACGGATGCCCTAGCCTACGCGGATAGAAGGGGGGGGGGGTGAGAGATCCGTCCGACCGGCGTCGCTCTGAAAACAACTACTTTTGTCCCATCTTGGGGGGCTTTTATATGGGACGCCCGCATATGGTGGCGAGTTCTGATTGGCTCCCATAATCACGCCACCTGTCCGGCCACCTGTTGACGGGGTGATTGAACTCATTATCATAAACACCTGTTCGTCTGGTCTACCTTTACTCCTTTGTTTTATTTGTCACTTCCATTGTTACAAGTTCGATACATATCTTTATATAGATATGGGGTTATAATAAATATTAGAAGAAGGTTGTGAACTATCTAACTCAAATTATACTACATATATATATATGAAAAAACAATAAGAAAAAAAAGCACATGTACTCGTAGTCAGGAAATACCTTCTATATTCTATATTTTTTCCCCTCTATACGCTGCTTTTTTGTACATAGGGTCTTCGCCCAAATTTACCCAATAATTAAATTATCTTCCTTTATCTTCAGATCTCTATTCCATGCGCAGAAACAACATCCTCGATCATTTTCAGAACATTGTTTAATCGGCGCCAGCATACTGTAGCTTTACCATTTTCGTCTTTAACATTATAAACGATTTCTTTAAGAAGGAAGGGGAATTATTCATATATATATATATATATATATATATATATATATATATATATATATATATATATATATATAAATGTCTCTTAGAGAAAGATATGGAACCTATGAATAATTCCCCTTCCTTCTTAAAGAAATCGTTTATAAACGATTTATTTAAGAAGGAAGGGGAATTATTCATATATATATATATATATATATATATATAAATGTCTCTTAGAGAAAGATATGGAACCTATGAATAATTCCCCTTCCTTCTTAAAGAAATCGTTTATAATGTTAAAGACGAAAATGGTAAAGCTACAGTATGCTGGCGCCGATTAAACAATGTTCTGAAAATGATCGAGGATGTTGTTTCTGCGCATGGAATAGAGTTCTGAAGAGAAAGGCAGATAATTGAATTATTGGGTAAATTCGGGTGAAGACCCTATGTACAAAAAAAGCAGCGTTTAGAGGAAAAAAATATATTTCTACACACGAAACTATGGATTGAGGACAAATGGATGTTTTGGGGCTTTTATACAGTGGTTGGGAAAGTTGTCAACGTATCCACAGGAGATGAGAGCGGACTAAACCTATGTTAGAACCTTCTGAGCTAGCTGCGCCGTCTTTCCTCTGGGTCTCAGCCTCTTTTCTTCCAAGTTGTCTGTTTATTTTTATACCTAGCCACTCCACCCTCCTGTACCACAGCATTCCCTTTACGCACATGACTTTCAAATTCCGAAAGATGATTCTTTTATTTTTATCACCTATACAAATATATAGAAAGTTAGAAAACCCATCTATTATATTGTAGTAAAGTATTTATTATTCTATTAACAAAGTATCCATTTTGATATTTATATCTTAGTCCTCTGTAAACTTCACTCTTTGCTTATCAGGTATTTTAACAATTATAGTTTGTTCATGCCTTAAATAAATTGCTGTGTCATCCTGAAGTTTGTCTTTCCTAATTTTCCGCGTGACAATATTGCACACAACTCTTTCAAATTAATTCAACTAGAAGAAGATGAAAGTATACAGAATATTTGTTGGCCTAAAGTAATTACAACTTGTATCGAAAGTATGTTCTTATTTAATAGATATTTGCTAGAATATTCTTTAGTTGTATCTCCCGTATGTACATATTGGAAGGATTAATGTATTGTAGAGATAGAGAACAAAGTAACACTAATGCACCACAATACAATTTCGTTGTGCGCGCACTAAATAATCCACCAGCTAATAACACCAAGAATGGCCTCCTACTCCAATAATGGATGAGGAGGAGAGATATTAATGGTGATGATGGTAGTTACATTTAAGCATCATTTGTCTGTCGTTTGATTACTTTCGAGACAACCGCAGGACTTACAGTTATACAATTATCGAGTAATGTCTCACACCTACTCATCCCTTTAACATAATCGACACTGTTCCTAACTTGTGGCTACGGCCATACAACATTGAAAACACCGGTTCTCGTCCGATCACCGAAGTTAAGCAATGTCGGTCAGTGACAGTGGAAGGGTAACCACCTTGGAACACAGGTGCTGTAGGCTATTACCTTTTCTGGGATGCCATATGCTTCTATGATGTTCCTATCTTCTGAATATTCCGATTCTCTGATCTCTGTTGAAATAAATGGCATACTACTAAATGCTTTTATGGATCCAGGTTCCTCCATAAACCTTATTGGGAAAAATCTTTTAGAAAAATATAGCTGGAAAAGTTATCCATTCCAGACCAAAATAACCGCTATTGGAGAAAGACACATTATTTCTACTGTGGTGGTAGAGCTTGAGGTGGATAACTATCGACCAGTGCAGCAGCACTAAGGGATATGCCTTTTGAGTTTTTAATGGGAAAGCCCACCATGAAATTGATTTTCCCCTTAGCGCACGAGAATGTATGTTCACCCGTGATGACATAGTAGTGATATTCCCTAAAATCTGTGACGTTGCCAACTTACGCGAACTTTGAGTGGTGTTTCGTATATCATCAAAGTCTTTCTTAGTTGTAGTGATGCGCATAGAATGCCCTAGGTGGTATCCATACAATCAAATGATTATTAGAACGAATGCATTAATATAGTAGTTTGTTAGACGATTTTCTTCGTCTTCAAACAATATGTCGTTAAACGAATTTATAGAATAACGAAATAGCAATTTCTGTATATTTCTCAGACCAGACTTACTATCAAATATTTCGAACAAAACAGATTTGAAAAGTGCGGCCGCCTATCATTGTCTAATATAAAGTATAAAACATTCTACACGCTCCTGCCACCGTGACCTCTGTTGTATATTTATTGTTTGCATATTTTATAAACAACTTAATGTCCACTTAGTGCAGGATATTATTCTTGATACATATAAGTTCAATATATATTATAAACTATATTTTTCCTTGAAGATAGTGGCGCAATGGTTTCCGAGTCTGATCCCAAGTTAGAATCATGGTAATCGCGATTTTTAAGGGTTGTAGGGCCATCTTCGGGTGAAAATTTCTCAGTTTGGACGAATCTGGTGTGGCGGCTTTGTCACCGACCCGAGGCTGCTATTTTCTGCGACGGTAAATAGATGGCGTCTAGCTTTGAGTCTATTTTGACAAGAAAGGCAACCTTTGTCTTTTTAGATATAGATATATATATATATATCTGAAAATAGAGAAATCCATACTTAAATCATTATATAATAAAAAGGCATATATTGAATTGAATAAAAAAACTTTTTGCCAATATTTCGGTTGGCTGAACCGCAACCTTTATCGAGGCATTACATTTTTGTATACACAATATTGTTAAACCTTTTTTAAAAAAGTTCTCACAGTTTTTGTTTAAATCATTTTAAATTTATTTTCAAATGTTTTAATAGATACATATATTTTCACATTTATCTCTTAATGAATTATTGATGGTTTATATTTATGTACTTATTACAAATATTTCAAAATATAGGATAGACCTCATTATTTATACCTTTAATATATCAAGATATTTAACTTTCTGTTTGTAATTTTTATAATATTTTATTCATGCACAAATTTACACCACCTACTTTGTATTTTTAAATTATATCAACTGTGATATTATAACACTATGCGGCGCTGATTTTGTGTATACAAAAATGCAATGCCTCGATAAAGGTTGGCGTTCAGCCAACCGAAATATTGGCAAATAAATATTTTATTCAATCCAATATATGCCTTTTTATTATCTAATATACATATATATTTTTAATTAAAAAGGCATATATTGATCCAATATATACCTATATATCAATAAAATGGGTAGGCCAAAGAACTAGGAACAGGCTGAATCAACGTTTAGTTGATTTATGTTCCACTAGATGGCGAGCTGCCATATAAAAAGCTCATATGCTCGTGGTTAGGATGTGTATTTAGATTTTACATATCTCTATATATTGCTGTACCAGGTTGCGGTCTGGAATTTTCATCAGCCTTGATTCTCTCCTCAGGCATATCCTGCATCTCTTCAGAGCGTATTTCAACTATTATGCACGTTTAGATATGTAAATAGTGAGGTAACTACTACGTATCCCCCAAATTATTAATTTTTCACATAAAATTTCAAAGAGCTTCATAGTTACAGTATTTTAAAATAGAAATAATGATTTTATAGTATACTAGACGTATGACCCGGCTTCGAACGAGAATTCCCCCGATTGCAATTTCCTTCATACTGAAAGTACATCAATAATAAATATTAGAAGTGCCATAGAATAGCAATACAGAAGTAACACATGAACTACAGGAAAAAAAGTGTGTGTGATGGCAAAAATTGTATTATATTAGTGTTTAGGTATTTGATTTAATTAATATAGTTGATATAATAATATATATTTATATTATATATAATATAAATTAGTTTTAAAAATTGTAAAAAAAAAAATGCATCGGCCGGGAATCGAACCCGGGCCGCCCGCGTGGCAGGCGAGCATTCTACCACTGAACCACCGATGCTCATAAAAAATGGCCATATTTGGGTATTCATTCCATTCCGGATTACTCCGCGTAAAAAAAAAGTTCTTCAAATGAAAAAAATAAATAGCCAAAAATACTAATCAAAATGTAGCCGAAAATTTCCTCAGGTTTATAAAAAGCGACATGCAAAATTTGGTACCAATTGGTTGAGTAGTTTTTGAGTTTATCGCGAAACAGACAAACATTGATTTTTATATATATATAGATGATCTGTTTATAATACATAACCTAAAGATAAAATAGAAATACAATTAGTGTTTGTGAGAGAGATTGAAACTACTTTCATTCAAAGTCTATAAAAGATTATATAGGGTTAAATACAGAATAAATATATGAGAATGAATATGATTATATACTGATATTAATCAAATATATAAAATAATATATAAATATACGTATATATAAATATATATACAAGGTCTTCATTGATGGCGCTCAGAGAGAGAGAGAGAGAATTTATAAAATATATTTAAAATAATACTAAAATTTGTTAATAAAATAGGTACATTAATAATATTCCAACAATATTGAATAATTCAGTTTGAAATCTGTCAATTGTAATCTATTCTATCTAACGATAGTAAAAATTCTACCTGAATATGTTTGAAATAATTAAAATTCTAGAGATTTGAGGGAGCATTTTATCTCTTTTTGCCAACTTTTCTGTTTTATAAAATTCTACAAAGTCGACATACCCCGGATAAATAGGAATTAGAAATATTATCTACTATTTTTATTAAATAATGAACAATTGATAACTACTGTTTCCTCGTCATATGAAGAGTTTGTAATCACACACATTTCGATAGATGTGAATACTTTAACAAATTGTTTAAATATAACTTGAATCAATGTGTTCAAATAAAATACAGAGAGAGGGGTAAAATAGAAATATCAATGTTTTCAAACCTTTAGATTCTCATCTATATAAGTCATACTTATAAATACATTTAATATTAAAGAGTGTTAATATCTATTTTAAAAAAGTCAATGTCTGTCTGTTTCGCGATAAACTCAAAAACTACTGAACAAATTGGTACAAAATTTTGCATGTCGGTTTTTATAAACCTGAGGAAAATTTTCGGTTGCATTTTGATTATTATTTTTGGCTATTTCTTTTTTTCATTTGAAGAACTTTTTTTTACGTGGAGTAAATACGAGGCGAAGTAACAACACGAGGCCAATTAAGCGACCAATGAGCGCGTTCCGCATTTCTTTTCAAGTTGCTTGCGTACTTTTTTTAAATATCTTTTTATACGAGTGTCATTTTTTTACAAAAATATTGAGAGAGAAATTTATATTACTAAGTTACGGTAAGTGCTCACAATGCAATTTAAAAAAAAAATCACAAAATTAGCGTATGTAAACAATTGCTTTCGTATTTATTATTAATTTTTGTTCTGGTTTTTTTTTAATATAATAATAAATAAAAGTTACAGTCAATATGATAATTCTTAAAATTAAACAAACAATAGTCAATATGCAAAAAAATACAAACTAACTTAATAAAATATTCTAATATCGAGAAATATGCAAAATCTCTCCTAATATTTAGATGTACATATTATTAGCATCTTAACAGTGTTTATTCGATTTTATGTACTCCTACAGGAAGGCAGAAATACTCGAAAGTTCGATATTGTTTTAATAAAGTATAAAGAATCTCCAGAACTATTTTTTGCGCGGCAGTAAATACGAGGCGAAGTGACAACACCAGGCGAATTAACCGACCAATGAGCGTTCTGCATATTTTCCAAATCGCTTGCCCAACATTTTTTTAAATATCTTTTTATAAGAGTGTTACTTTTTATTTTACAAAAGTATTAAGTATTGAGATAGAAATTCGTATTACTAAATTACGGTAAGTGCACACAAAAATGTAATTTTAAAAATCTTTACAAACCTATCGTTACTATGTAAACAATGAATTTCGTATTTTTATTAATTTTTGTTCTAGCCTTTATTTTTTAAAAATATTTTTACAAAAAAAATCATATGTAGTGAAAATTCAATATGAATTACTCTCTCATTTAACAGCCAAAACATGTGTTTGTCTATAATCCATATACCCTTTGGTTTTTATCAGCCTAAAATATTAACATGGCTATTTTGGCATTAGTTTTTTTTTTTTTTTAGTATTATTATTTTTTGCTGACATGTTGATAGGGCACTACATTTTACAAAGTTACGGTTAGTAAACAATGCAGATTTGACAATATTTACTAACTTTTATTACTGTATGTAAACAATGGGCTTATGTTTTGTCATTGTTGTAATGGCCTTTGTTTTGTTATTCTTTTAAAAAAATCATATGTTTCATTGATAGTTCAAAATTTTGTCTGTTGTTGTCATATATTTGCCGAAGTTCCATGTGCCCTTTTATTTTTTACTGAACATTTAATGACATTTATTTACATGACTGTATTTTGGCTTTCATTTTTATAAGCCTTTTTTTTTTCTTACTGAGAGAGATGGGGAATTATATTAGAGAGCCTGTCTCCTCACCCTTCCAATTATTTTACTGTTTTATTCGCTTGCCATTTCTGTATATTTTGTT